TCTGTATTGAGGTGCATTGAGAGTGTAGATGAGGTATTTCCAAATTTACGATAATTAGGTATCTGGCAATGAAGTTACAAATTTAACAAAGTGTGGCTTTCCCAGTGGAATCTCCAAAAAGTCTGAAACATATGAAGCCATGTTCCAGGGATCTGGTGCCACCTGTCACCTGCCAGATCCACCACTGGATAAATGCTAGAAAGTCTTACCTTTGTTCAATACAAAACAGGAAATTAGTTATCCTGCACTACATTCATTACATTCTTTTGACCTAATTATTGGGCCCATGAACTTTTCACCTTTGTGTTGAAGAAGAACAGACAGTTTGGTGCAGAGAACATTGCGTTTTATAGCAGAGATTCTGCGGGGAAAGCAGAGCAATGAACAAATATTTGTCTTTAGAAGTCATATACTTGAAGATAATAAAAAATGAGAATGGGATGTTTGACAGCTCCTGTCTAAATGTCTGAAGAAGGTAAAATACCCACAAATAAATTGTGCTATTGACTTTCTTCAGCAAGAATGCAAACAATTCAGCAAGTAATTTTTATATTGGCCAATATAAAGAGCTATAAAATTCACCATACACATTTTTAAATCTCGAAACACCACACACCGGAGATGTCAGCTTTCAAAGCGCACCGCTTCCTGTGATGGTCACAGGCCAGACAATCTTACAGTGAATAGGAATTCTTCAGGGTGTCAATACGAAGTAATGACACCCAAGATCTTGCCCTTCACTTCTCCACTGAGGAAGAAAGTGGAAGTTGAAATTTTTTTTTTGACAATTTGTGCTTATTTTAAAATGTTATTTATTATTTAATTAATTATTTCACACTCTCCTAAATATTATAGGCAGAGGTGGTAAGTTCAGTTCTAGAAAGCGAAAATCCAGATTTTGTGTCAACCAACCAGTTGAGTGACTGTGACTCTTTATGCTCACCTGCTTGGGTGAAACAAAATCTTGTTCTGGTTTTTTACTTCTTGGATGTGAACTATCCACTGGCCATTGACTTCTTGGTGTTTTGACAGCACATTTCTACCCTTAACTGTGTGAATGGGCGGTGTGACGCCTCATTGGGTCACAATGTCACCTCACACCTCCAAGAATGGGGTGTAAATCCTGTCCCCATTCTGTGTGTTTGACATATGCATGTTCTCACCATATTATGTCGATGCTTCCTCTTGCAGTCTAAAAGCATACGGTTAGGTGAATCGGTGCCTCAAAGCTGGCTGTGATGTGTGTGTGTGGCCTGTGATGAACTGGCATCCCGCCCAGCAGGTCCCCTGCCTTCTTGGGATAAGCTGCAGGCTCACTGTGACCTGGTACTGGATAAATGGTTATGGAAGACAGATGGACGGTAAGTATGGGGGATATGATTTTACTTCAACAAGTAACTGGTCCTCACTTTTATTTGTACCGTTGGACTCAGTTTGGACCTCCATATTGCTTGAGTGTGGTCTGCAGAGTAAATAACAAAGGGTGTATTTTGGATATTTTTTTTCAAACTATATGACTTGCTTACGTCATTTATTTTTCAATTATATTTTTTCTTTCATTTTCAGTTTATTTCTGCTGTGCAGATTTTGTTTGATTCTTTATTTCACATCACTGAAAAATCTCTTATCCGGGGCCTTACTACTGTAAGTACAGATTTCCCCCGCTTTCCAAAAGTGGAATGTTCCCACAAAATGGTGTAAATTGAAGAAGCAAATACCATTAATTTATATGGGGGAAAATTTTGAGTGTTCCTAGACTGAAAAAATAGCAGATCATACCAACTAACACATAAAATCTAAAATAACAGTAACGTAAGGTAAAAGTAGGAATGATACAATACAGATACTGCTGATATAAAGTAGAAATAATAGTAGTTTCTCATACAGAATCAATACAATCATGCGTTAACAGGGATACGTTCTGAGAATTGTGTCCATAGGCTATTTCACTATTGTGAGCGTGGTTGAGGCTACCTACACAAACCTTGATGGTATTGCTTACTACACACCTAGCTATATGCTTTTGTTTAAATAATGATACAAAAGCAAAGTGGTTTAAAGCGAACTTTCGTAAAGTGGTGGGTGTTATTGTGTAATTCACCTTGTGAAGCTTTTCTTAAGTACCTCAGATAGAGAAGTTGAAGCTTATTTGCTGTATTGAATGCAGATATCAGTATTGCAGTTTACTGACTGAAATATATAGCATCACTTCCTGCTTTGTTGTTTTGGTTTTTTTTTTTTCAGTTTTGATTGCTGGAATTGAAAGGCCAGTCATAACTCCTCTATGCTTATCGTAAAGAAAATATGGTCTGTGACAAAGTTTGGTACAGCAAAGGGATAAAGGACTTCTATGCATTTATTGATTTTGCATGCTTTTGTATTTCCATTTCTCTGAAATTGACAGACTTTGACAGTGATGCACACAAATCATCGTCAACTGAAGGTAATTAAATGACTGCAGTTAATTATGTTGACAGCCAACATTGGCTTTAATTATTAAAGAACATTTTATTATTATGGATATTGTAAATGTCTTTCAAGTTAAATATCTGTCAATCATAATTAAAGTATTTTTTTAATTATTATGTCTGTGTTTGCTTTTTGCAATAACAAAATTAACAATGAATTATACTTAATCTGCTACTGTATAACACAGAAATTTCATGTACACAAGTCCATTCAAATAAATGTATATTGGAAATTGAGGGGAAATACTGATATGATAGAGCCCATATTTTCACCTCCTGTAAATGTACACTACTCCCCTTCTCCTAAAGGGGGCAAGAGAGAAATGCAGATGAGAGGATTCTGTTTCCCAGATTTAGCTGATTTCTATGCAGGCTAGAGGCATCTAGCTGCAGTATAACTGAGGAGCAGCTGCACATCCCTGAAGCTTGAAGAACCAAGCAGGGACCAGTAATAACAGCTGTCGTTTTTCCACACCCTGTCTCGCTGGCCCCCCCACTGTATTTATGACTGAGCCCAGACTGCCCAGGTGTGCCTGGGAAATTACTTAAAACCTTCGGCCTGCTGTCATTGGCTAGGGATGGTCTGCTGTCATTGGCCAGGGATGGTCTGCTGTCATTGGCCAGGGTTGGTCTGCTGTCATTGGCCAGGGATGGTCTGCTGTCATTGGCCAGGGTTGGTCTGCTGTCATTGGCCAGGGTTGGTCGGCTGTCATTGGCCAGGGATGGTCTGCTTGAATGCATCACACTAAATATTCAGATTAACCAGATTGGACCGATACATCCAGGCTGCTCCTCTATTTAATGCTGAAAAGGTCAACCAATGACACTTCGGTCACTATGGAAGCGCTGCGTCGTAAACGAGATTAGAAGTGCTGACTTGATGGAATCTTCACTGATTAATGTTAGCTAGACCACCAATTTCAGTTCTGATAATGGAAAGTACACTATATTGATATCAACTGGCTCACAAATACATTTATCTATCTCTAACAGATCTTTTCCCCCTGAGCTAGAAATCAATAGTTGTTAATGGTACAGAATGGCTACCTATGACATTATTATAACAGTGTTATAATGGAAAACAACACTGATATATTGTTCCTACAAGAAAACATTTTCATTTTCTTATTTATTTTATGATTGTCAAGCTATTTTTTCATGTCATAAGTTTTATCATGTGTGTGTGACTTCTTAGTGGAGTGGTTTAAGTATACTGAAATTGAAAGCACAATTTAAAGATTTAAACCTTTACAAATGCATATTTTATTGAGACAAATGCATCACAAATATACCTCAAAGCAAGTTTAGAATTTTTCTTTTTAAAAAAAAAAAATTCATTAAAATGTACACAACTTTGACAGCAAATAAATAATTCATTACACATTAATCTTTAAGTAACCAAATCTCTTAAAAGGCGATTATCTTGGCAGTGCCATTCTGTGTTACAATCCAAGTACTGAGGCGTATAACAGCATCGAGCTGTCAATCAGACATGATTAGCACTCAAACAGACCTTCTAATCTTCATTTTTAATGGCAGCAAGGAAGAGGGTCATTAGGTTGTAAGTCTCTCTGCATATAAGATGCTATGCCAGTAGCAACAGAAGTAATCTTACAGTGCCGTTCCATCTGTTACCCAAAAGCTAAAAACACAAATGTCTGCATGATGCTGATATGATGATGATATTCCATCCCAAATCCTGGTTTTTAAATAAAAGTGAAACACTGTCCACCTTCACATCGCTAAATGTAAAAAGAGCACACCTTTGGTTCCAGCAAAGCAAAGGTAGGCTCGTGTTTGTCACTAGGACTCGATTATCATTCACCATTGTGATTGCAAATTACCAATGCTAGCTAGGAACATGTTTTGTATATCTTTTCATAGTTTTAATCCGGTGAAAACGCCACCGAATAATTACCCATGATGCTTCCCTCCACCCCCTCCTTGAACGGACATCTACTGACGCGTTTCATCTACTGAATGAGTTTCAGCAGGAGATGCTCTTGATGAATTCAGGTCGGCTCCTTGACCCACTTCGGCGCTCGCGATGCTAATTACATACGACGATGCTAATCGGGATGACGCTCCCTAAGTGTACCGGCTATATGTTCCTATGAGTATAATCAAGGCTGTTACGTTTAAAATGAAAGCACATAAAGAAGAAAAGCCCCACATGGGGGTTAGCTGTGCCGGCAAACAACGCTGGAGGGGCTGCTTTTATCAGTGAGATAAAAATGTGGAAAAGTAGAGAGCCGTGAATGTGAGTAATTGGCTGTGTGAAGTGCTTTGAATAGACTAAAACAGCCCTAGGAGACGTTTCCTTGATGAACAATGAAATACATCTCTGGATGCACCCAACGATGTAATGAAACAAGCCCATGTCTGTGTGTGACCCCTGAAAAGTACCAATGACGGCGGTCTTACGTAAAATTCCTGCTGAGAGTAAATGAGATCATTACATAGAGGGAACATAAGGTGGTGATCAAACTTCATAAATCCTGATATCTCATGAAAGAAAAATAGGAACAGATATGTTTTTAAAAACTTTATTAGCAAATATGTATCTCAACAGATCGACAAAAGCATGAGATTTGTCTGCAAGCCCTAAAATATACAGTAACATAATACATCTGTTCTAAAGCTGTTGTATAGGGCAGGGGGTTGAGAGGAGGTGCTTTTCACTGACCCCCTTGAGGAATCCATCTCGTCGTCTGGCTATGCCTTGTTTCCAGCACAGAAACAGGGCCGCAGACATTGTACAGTGCTTGGTGGGAGGACCATCACAGTTCCTCAGTGTACACAGTGACAGATAGGTTACAATCCACAATGTAACACTCACAATCTCTCAATCTCCATCGATGCTACTTAGTGTCAAATCCAGTATCCATATGTGACATAATGTGTTCTCTGAAATAACAGAATTGTACAAGTACTAGTATGGAGAGGAGATGTAAGAACAATTGATAGTTTAAATATTATATATTTGTAGAAGTGGAGGAAAACACTATAAAAAACGTTTAAAAACCCTTTGGCACATACATTAACAATACGGTATCATTTAAATAAGTAATGTTTATGTACATTTTTGGATTGGTACAACATATGAGTTAAATGGTAACATAAACTCATTTCAAGTCCTCCTTGACGTATCTTGTAAAGGCTAATACTCCAGCAACATTAAAGAAATATCGGTTGTTGCAGTTTTTGACAGTGGGACGATTCTTGGTCCAATTTACATGCAATCAACCAGATAATCGGCATTATCAACACATCAAGCTACTGTAATTTACTGCTTGGGTCCATATTTAGTGTTTTCCTCTGGCGGACTGCTTTCGAACATAAGAGCAGTTTGCCAGTGTTTTAAAGGGGACAGTGGTCATGTGATCATTTAAACTGATGACAGATAAGGCTTCCCTCCAAAAAGGCCCTGGGAGCGAGCGGAACTCGGCCAGCTCTGCTCTCATTTTACCAGCAAGATGGTGCCTGAAGGAAGCTGCTTGACAAGTATTTTCATCTCCGGACGACACAGAGCACATCCACCTTCAAGGACACATCTTTGTGTTACAGAGCTGTGCAAACTAGCGCACCTCTCTGCTCTAAGATCTGGAACATCCTGAATAGGACCAGAGACATGTAGGTCCGCAGAACCTTTGCAGGAAAGCCTAAAATATCTAAGCTAACGGACGTTAGCTTATCTTAGCTGAATTAACTTGGAATGATCAAATGGTGCATACTAAATACTTGCATTTTTCGATTGGAATTTCACCAAAAGCCCAAGTGCTAAATGAGCCACTAGGTTTTTGCAGAAAACGTACCGATATAAAGGGAGAAACGGGAAATGAGCAAAGTGGGGAGGAGAACTGTCATTATACCATACACCCCCCTCTCAAAAGTCAGTAGAGTGCAGCAGACACATTAATTAACAATTTAGAGGATAATGAATGTGAAAAGGACACAACAAAAGCCAGCCGTCAGAGTATGTAATACCCCATGCGGTTATTTTTAAGAAATATATATTTTGGAACACATCTGAAATTTGCCTCTATTTGGATGAAATTTAATTTAAGAGAGCATCCTAATTAATACACTTGCTAAAAAAGTCTTACATTGTATTTAAAACCATCTGTGAAAAAGTATTATACAAACACCTTTTGTTCCTAGAAAGGGGTTAGTTTCCTCCGCTTGAAGCATTTTATATTGCAAATTTAAGGTGATTTCATGTTTTTATGCAAGAAATAACATTTAGCTTACATTTAAACTGTATAAAGGACATGACACGTTTGAAAAAGTGGTTCTTGTTAGAAGCCAAGCCAGGAAACTGTGTATGAATCTTGTGGAGATTTAATGGTGAGGTTATTTCGTTTGAAAGTGGATACGCACACACACAATGCTCTCAGTTTAACTGTCACTGATAAAAAAATATTTAGTGTGACATTCAACACAAAAATAGCATTACCCCCGAGACTTCTCAATGTACACGTGTCCTTTCATTCTATTGGACAGAGGCCATTTTTTACCTGGCACCTGAGTCCATCTGGACATGCTGACCTATCCCAGAATCCAGTGCTTCTGCACTGTGGATGTATTGCAATGTCTACAGCAGAAACTACGATGAAGGTTAAGAGCGCAATGCCAGACATCCTTAATAATAAACTTCTATGGTCTTCCATGCAATAGCTCTGTTTCTCTCTTTCTGAATACATGTCCATATACTGTAAATATATCGAGTGTTACAACAAATTGGTTTATACCTAACAATAGCCAGAAGAATCACTAAAAGATCTACAGTCTGACAAAACGAGAAAAAAAAATTGGTAAAACCATAAAAAAATAAAGCAAAGCTGAACAAAAATGGAATTTTGGCACAATTGAAATAGCTTCAATGATTTTTGCAAAATCACATGTACGTGATGTGTAAAAGAAGTTAGCTAGCTGACAAGTTCACCATAGCGCCAAGTTTGTGATGTTGCATTAATATACAGATACACATCAAAGATCATCATGCACAAGTGAGCCTTGTGTCCATCTGGTACTGGCTTGATTGTACATAATATTGTGGGTGGACGCGAGAGCACCCAAGACCACATATAAACTTTGTACAGGGGGCCACAGATGCAAGGAGAGATCACCGACCGAAAGCTTGACTCTGCGAGGTTCCTTTATAAAAGATGGTCCTGGTGTTGTCTGGACTGCTGCCTCTCTCGGGGATGAGGATGACATTCCCTTTTCTCCTGAGGGTTGAGTCCTGGCTGGAAGCAATGGAAAGAGTCTCGGAGGTCCCCTCTGCCCCCTCCACTGGGGTCACGCGGATGGTGGTGACGGCCTGGTGGTGGAGATGCTGACTGCCATCCTTCGGGGACCCTGAGCTTTCCGAGCCTCTATTCAGGTTGTTGAACTCGTATGACTGCCTTGGGCTGACCCTCTCCTGTGAGTTCCACTTCCAAGAGCCGTCTCCATTAGGTGTCGGGCCCTGCACCACCGACCTGTTGTTTTCTGGGTGGGCCTCTACTCTCACAATATTTACCGGCTCCTGGTCTGTCAGTGTCTTGTAGCGTATGGATCCGGTGCAGCTGACCGTGCTGCCGCTGGAGCTCTTGGGACTTCCCTGGAGGAGACCTTGCTGCTTGGACAGGGCGATGACCTGCATGATCCTTGGCTGGCTGCAGGCCACACTCTTTTCAGCCATGCTAAGCCACTTGGAGCGTGTGGAACTATTCTTTGGGGACATGTTGTCACTCTCCTGAGTCTCCTCGGGGATGTGGACCAGCTGGGTGGAGCTGGGACGGGACGGCATGGACACCCTGGTGCCTCCTGCGATGCCGCTACTGGTGCTGGTTGCCAGTTTCATGTATTGGCTCGCAGGACCCTGGTGGTCTCCGTTGATGCCCACACCTGCCGGCTCAGAGTTGCACCTCATCTCCATGGACCCCTGTGGGGAGTGGCTGAGTTCCGTCTCTATCACCTGCAGGGATAAGTTGCAGGAGTCGTTCTTGCTCTTCCACTGCGAGAGCAGCTGTTTGGATTGGTTGGCGTCCATGGTGGCATGCATGGTGGCGTTGCGTCGGGTAGGGTCCTCCAAGGCTGATGTGTGGACCCTAGGGAGGGTGTTGAAGGTCACCATGCTCTCTTTGCCCATAGGGACCCTCGGGGTGATGACCTCCACGTTGGCAGTGGCTCTCTTCAGGTTGGTGAGAGAGCTGGTGTTGCGCTGGTTGCGGCTGATGAGGCTCTCGGGCCGTGGAGGATTACCGTTGCTGTTCGAATTGCTCTTGATCGACAAATGGCGGACCGATTCTTGGCGCTGGTCCGTCGGGGGCTGCTGGACTTCACGAGGTTGCGTCGGCCGGCTCGAGAGCTCCTCGCCGGGCTGGAAGTTGCCGACAGCATAAAGCCCCTGGTGACCGTACAGAATAAACACTGGTTATTCACAGCGCTGCAATCTGGCCCCTGACAGCTTTGCGCCAATGTTGTCAACAGAACACTTTTAAGTTTATCGCCTGTGAAAGCTGTTGTGTCACAGCGGAAGAGAAAAAAAAACACCCATTCAAAACAGAAGGAACATTTATATACCCTGTGATGGCCCAGCACCTTATCCAGGGTCCTGCCCTGGTCTCTGTGTCCTGGGATAGGTTGCCGGCTAACCGTAAATTTGCACCCTATGAGTGGTTATGGATGATTTATTGAAGGATGGAAGGATCTACAATTAGAAGACCACACATTCTACTTTGCTTTTATGTTCTGAGTGAAATGAGATTGTGAAAATTACTGGCCCGTGTCCTTGAGGTTGAGCTTTGTATTTTAAAAACCAAAAGGGCATTTGACATTTATTTGCAAGGCAGGAAAGGGCTGGACTCCTGTAACCCAAAACAGTCCTCCAGCTGTCCAGGAAGCGGAGTTCACATTCACAAAGAAATAATGCCTTTTTTCAGAACCAAGAAAAATTTGGAATTAACCACCATTTTTCAAATGGAACGGAAACTGCCCTGTTCTGGTGCAGGACTTGCTTCTTGGATTTTAATGATTGGCTATGATTTAAAAACATATAAATACCAAATCTGGTGTAATTGTTCAGTTTTGAAAGTTGAGCTCTCCCTAGCAGATCTGCATGCAAGCTAATGAATACATTTGCATTTACAATGACTTAACAGATGCTTTTATACCCAAAGCCACGTACATTTCAGAAGGCAGGGTCAGCCAGTCCTTGAAGCAGCTGAGGTTAAGAGAGGTAGGTAAGAGCATGTGCTGATACAGCACTCAACAAACCACCTCAGGCATGAGAACCTGAGGGCAGCTCAGCACTGCACTAGTTCAAAATGGAGTTTTTTTTCCGGTGGCTGGAGTTCCAATCCTGACACCAACCCCCAAATTTTCCCTGTAAGTGGGAGAACCTCCTTGCAGGGCTGGAGTAACGTCATACCCAGGACAAAACAATTGCAGGTGAAGGGCCTTACGCAAGGGCCCAGCAGAGTAGGACCACTTCTGGCACTCACGGGATTTGAACCAGCAACTTTCCTATTAGTGGCACAGATCCCAAGCCTCAGAGCCACCACTCTGAGGTTAAGGACCTTGCATAAGGACCTAACAGTGAAATCACTCTGCCAGCTATTGGATTTGCTTTTGCTCCTCCGCACTCATTGATCCCATCTCCAGTCCCTCAGTCGTTCCTCCCATCTTTGTCTCACGTGGTTCTGTTTGCCGTCACCATTTTTGCCGCAGACAGTCTCATAGCCCCTCCATACACCTATAGGTTTAACCGAAGCTGTTTTTGGTTTCCTCACATTTCCCTGTTAGCTTTGAATTAGCGCCCTTTGGGTCACTGGTCGGTATCATTAACTGCCCAGCTAAGCATGCTAAGTTTTAGCACGGAAGGAAGCCATTCATTTATACGAAGAAGACCTACCAGGTAGACGGCCATTCCCCCTCCGATGAGGAAGCCGAGGTAGACGTCAACGGGGTGGTTCTTGTACTGAGTGATCCGTGTCAGTCCGCATATGATGGCGGACATGACGAAAGAGAAGACCAGCGCTGGTTTCAGGAGCCTCGAGGAGTCAGTCAGTGTCGCATTAAAATACATCTGGAGCGCAAAGGACAGAAGTCATTCTGATAATGTATATTGCAATTTTTTTTTTTTTTTATAATTTAGTGATTAATTGTCATTGTCGACACACCACAACAAAATATGTTCTCTGCATTTAACCCATATATGACATAGCAGGGGGAAGCTAATTCAGCGCCCAGGGAGCAAAGCTTGGGGGCGACACCTTGCTCAGGGTACCTCAGTGGTGCCTTGCTGGTCAGGGATTCAAACCTGCAACCTTTCAACTACGAGTGCACTTCTCTAAACATTAAGTCACCACTGCCCACTACAGTATATACATTTTATATATATATATATATATATATATAAACACACACACATTGTATACATATATGATTAATAATGAAGCTATTGGTTGTTTAAATAAGGAAGTTTATGGAATTTTATTTACTCATTGACGGATTCATTGAAATTTGATTGTCTAATTGTTTAATTTTAATGTACAGCTGTGGAAATAATTAAGAAACCAACATACGATTTTTTTGTTCCACTCATTTCTCAGTCTATGGATGTGTGTCTGTGAATAATACACTTTTTTTTTTTTTTGCAAACTGCATCCTGGTTCTTCTCTGTTTCTCATTAATGAAGGGCTTCTTCCTCGCTTTATGGGACTTCAGTCCTGCTTCTAGGAGCCTGATACACACTGTCCTATCACTTCACACCTGCACTTAATGCTTCCTGCTCATTTTGGTCACTAGATATCCTCCAATTCACGAGAAACTGTCGGATAAGTTAACCGTCATCTCTGGCATTAGTAAGTCACTTCCGCCCTCTACCTAGCTGGGTTCTGGTCGTTCCCAGTGTTTCCAGCTTCACTTTGTTCTTATGTGCTGCTGTGAAAATTTGGACCAGGAAGCAACCTGCTGCACAGAGTAGCCTTCTGCCAGCAGAACCACAATTAAACCAGGATATAGAAATGCAGATTTGCTTAATAATATAGAGTGGTCTCTTAATTTGTTCCATGGCTGTATGTATATGTCTTTAGATTTACTGTAATCAAGCAATATTGAGCATTATACTGTTGTTTTTTTGTATGACATGGCTGTAACTTTCATCCATTCTATTGCACACACTACGCTGTAATGTTGCTGTGATTTTTCCAAGTCTGCCCATGTGCTTTTTTCTAAATTACACAACTCTGACAGATGAATGCCTACAGTAGCACTTCTGCGAGGTTTTATTCTAGCAGATTGCAGCTTTCGGGACCTACACCGAATGTTTCAATGTGGCAAACGGTGGGCTTTGGTCACTCACCGAAACATACACAGCGGCGAAGGCTGCCAGTGTGGCATGCTGGGATGGGAAGGATTTCCTGAGATGGAAATGGGGAGAAAAATTACAGTGAGAATGTCGCTCACGGGAGAGCAACTTGCGGGATTCTCTTCCCTCCCCCCACGAACCCTGGAAAATTGATCATGGCAAGGAGGGGTTCGAATCACAACAATGTGCACGCACGCCAGACTGCGTTTAACTGCGATTGGAGCGGGGCACTGTGTGTGCACTCTGCCATAAACATCCATTTTTGAGGCCCCCTCGGGCCCAGATTTGTGTGTGGCCGCACGCGTGTGACATTTGGTATTTCCCTTCCGCGTTAAACCAGCATTCCCGGTGATTTATCGTCGTCATTTACTTTAGCGGTGACAGAGAAGGCAATTACCCATTCAGCACACAGACAGCTCCTAATCAGAGAGCTTACCCATAAACAGGCCGGATTTTTCGCTCGATTTCATAAGGCGCAATTAAAAAATGCTCCTTCAATCAAGAATAAGAAAAATAACATTTCATAAGATTTATATTTTTATGTATTCCAGTGTATCTTCTCAACTTTCTAATATTTCAATATAAATTTAATATATTATATATAAATGACTACCTGTCCAACATACTTCTAGGTAATCATACAGAGGAATGCCTTAAATGTGTAAATATATAAAATTTACAAGAATCTCAGAAATCTTCACTTAAGTAATCTTGCGGTTGAGGTTATGATCACACTGAGCTGTGAAATGCTCTGCTTGTTTGTGGTTAGCGTCTTCGCTTCTGCATTTAATTTAATGCCCCATTTCAACTCTATCTGTTCACCAGACATGGAAAGTCATTCAATTAATTTATGATTGTTTCAATAAGAGGGAAGGAAGAATGGAAGGTAATCAGTGGAAGAAAAACGTTCAGAGTATCATAGTATCCGTCACCTGGTCCCTTCTGTTCACCCGAAAATATGTCATCTTTGGATTTTTAATTTCATGATAACATACATGAATAATGCATGTTCGGCATGAAACACTTTCATTTATCAGCAAAAATCCATCTGTAAACCAATCTGTTTATTCATTCATCCATCTTCTGTAGCCACTGGTGCTGTTCAGGGCCGCAAGGAGTCCGGAGTCTATGGGCGCAAGATAGGGAACAACCCAGGATGGGATGCCAACCCATTACAGTGCACATTTACATGCACAGCATTTACATGCACAGCATTTACATGCACAGCATTTACATGCACAGCATTTACATGCACAGCTACGGACAATTTGGTAACTCCAATAACCTCAGCATGTTTTTGGACTGTGGGGGAAAACTGGAGTTCCCAGAGGAAAACCCACAACAACATGGGGAGATACGTGCAACACACAGAGCCATGACAGAGACTCGAACCCTGGTCCTAGAGGTGTGAGAGAACGGTGCTAACCACTGCCCTGCCCTGTCCGTCCATCCATCCATCCATCCATAACCAGACCATCAGGGGACTTGTACTCACACATGCAATGTAGTTTAGAGACACCACATTAGTAAATTGCATGTACTTTCTATCCTTATACAAATAAAATATATAGCTCAGGATGCATTACATGAAACTGTTACACAGTAACTACACACAATCTATTTTTATAATCTGAAATAGTCAACAAAGCTGTTCTATTGTCTCACGTTTTCAGGATAAACCCCATAATAGAGCATCTGCAGACCTGGCAAATAAAACATGCCTTGTCTCGTGACGTAAGTAGGTGCTCTGCTCTAAAAACGCATAGAGTTATTTTCGGTGATTCTCCTGTGAGACATGAACGTGTTGCCCCCAGCTCTAACAGAACTGCGCTCCAGCTAGAGAAGGCAGATCGCCACCCACCAGGCAGATATAATGAGGCAGTGTAATTCATCCATAAAGCCATTTCGCCCTTCTGCGATCTCAGCCCTGACTGTCTGCCCTGTCAAATTTCCCAGTGCTCATATTTAACAGCAGTAATATAAAAGGATACATTTTATCCCACACTACATATTGCTATTATAAATTCTTCTGTACAGATATGCATAACATGAGAGAAACATGCAAACTGGACACGCAGTCCCCCGCCGTCCATGATGATAAATTTAGCTGAAAATATGGGACAAATTGTGTCCCATATTGGTTTAAAATGGGACACAGCATTTTATGTTTCAATACAGGATGATTCCATATTATACGGCACAGGTGGCAAAGCAGAAGGCAGGATTCAAACCTCACCTTGGGGGTATGATACAATGGTTTCATCCACTGAGTTACTGTGCTGTACTGTACACCCATTGAGTACCATTACATTTAATAACTAAATATAACACATTCCAAGGCTTATATGGATCTACAAGGATTTCATGTCATTGCTAGCTAAATTAGCAAATAGCATAGCACGTGATTTAATGGTGAAGTAGTTCAAGGACTGCAGACAGACATATGAGGGGTTCTGCATGGACAGGTTCCGGAAATGACCATCGGGTCACAGCTTCTACGTGATTCTGAACAGCTCCATCCCTCACTTCGGGTCTGTAAGTTACCTGCCGGCGTTAATGACGGATGGGTCAGTCCCGGAGCAGATGTCCTGCAGGATGAAGGAGTTCTCCTCGCAGGATGTGCTCAGCGTGGTGTAGTTGGGCTTGCAGACAGTCAGGAAGTAAGGCGCATGGTAGCCGGTGGACAGCTGGATGGTGTCGGTGACAAGGGCGGTGGCGCAGAGGCCGAACACGTGAACGCCTGGTGAGGAGAGAAGTGCGAACGGAATTTCTAAGAGAGGTAAGCCAACAGTATGTCTTAAGAGTAAATGCTAGGAGATGTAAGACATCACCCGTGTGATAGTGCTAAAAGGGCACATAGGCAGACACCTAGTGTGTCACCTTCCGGGGGTTGACTTAGCAAGCCAATTTGTCTCGAATGGGAGGTGCCAGCACTGAAGCCTGCCCAGGGCCTCACAAGGGTTTCGACCAGTACTACTAGGAGTGGATCCAGCAAGCAGGAAGCTCATGGGAATTTTACTTGCATAAAAATGTTCTGAGGGCGGATGGAAAAAAAGATTGATTCAGAGAGATGGCCAACCAGATTGCAGAGGAGGTGGGTCTATGCAACCAGAGGAGGCGGGACCAGCCAATCAGATGTCTTGGTCCCGCCTCCATTAGTTGCTTGTACCCCTCTACAATTTGATTGGTTATCTCACCGAACCAATTGTTTTTCACTCTGCCCTCAGAACATTTTTGTGTAAGTAAAACCCCCACGAGCAAGCAGGAACTTGAGTAACCTTGAAGCTGCATAAAAGTGCATGAAATTTAAATAATTCTCCCTGAATAAATATGAAATTGAACATGTGCGCTTGACATCTTGTATACATACTGTTTATATAATGTCTTATTTGATGTGCATGAATCATTCTGAAATCTTACATTTTTGTTGTCTTATGTGTGTAAAGTGACAGAAAAGTCTATTTTTCACGCATGAGTGGGGTGGGAATTTGAATAGTATATTAAAGTCCATTGTTGTCCGTAATAGACCAAGAACAGCCTGTGAAAACAGACAAAAACAGACACTCACCCACAAACCTGACAGCTCGGCGAATGTACGAGTTAAAGTTGCAGCCTGCGGCATTGATGTTCAGCTCCGTTCCGGCGACGTACCCCCTTTTTATCAAGCAGCAGTAGAGAATTCCTTCCCCAATCATTATCTGTGGGCAGGATGAATCATTTTGTACAATCAGTTTTCGGTCTAAGAATATTTACTTTAAGAGCCGCAGAGCTAAAATAACACAACACTTTTCTTCCATGCCATTGTCAAATTACACAACCTCCTCTCTGGCTTCCAGTACTATTACTGTACCTTCACTTTCAGCTATGCTGTGGCCCCTTTTCCAACATGGCACTGCATTTATCGGTCCATACTGAACACGAGAATGTTGGGCCTGCACAGTACTGTACATCCTCCAGCAGTAAAACTCCTAATATGAGCAAAAGAATTGCACATGTTTGACGCATCTGTTTGTCATGGTAAACTTGTTTTCCAGCTTTTCTGCACAGCTGAGAGTGATATCTAAATGTGCAGCCCAGCTGTCACCACTTTGAGAATGAAATACAACTGGTTATTTTCTGAGTTTGAGCCCTTTCTGATCGGGCATTCTCACCTGGAAGTCTCACTCTGTAAGCTTGTGGGTCCTGGGACTCAAGCCTTCTGGGTAGAATACAGAGCTGAACCACCTCTAATTGATAGCTGAGTTTAGATACATGTTGGTTTATGTATTTAGGAAAATGATTTAGACAATATTTTTTGCTTTTACAAAGGCATTTATGGTATAGAACATCCATGTCTCACTAGCATTTGTACTCTATAAGCTGAACACATTTTCAAATCAATTCCCTGACCCACCTGCAGACAATGTTATACACCAGGCAGTGACCTCATTTTGCAGTTAGAAAGGGCGCAGAGCCAAACACATCTGCAGCTTTTCCATTTCTGTGATGTTTTCATACTAACATGACACAGGAAACGGAAGAACAAACATACAAACGATTCCCCATATTTGTGCACGAGCAGGATGTGGGTACTGTGTGCTGTAGAGGCGTCCGCTGCTTCATCAGCGAGGCCTCCCAGTCTGGGAGCTTGTTGGTATGACTCTTCACTCAAGTGCCTGTACAGTACAGCCCTAATAAAACATGGGCATGTGATTTAGTTGGCGCCCCTTAAGGCTGCGTAAAAAATGTGGGAAATTGGTGCACGACCAATCAAACTGTTTGAAATACAATTACGAGCTTATTTGTTTAAATACAGGTTCAGTTGAAAGTCATTGATATTGGTCTTTAAAATAAAAAGGACAATGTAGTCATGGTAGTGACTATACAAAAAAATCCTGTGTTTGTGTCGTGATTATCGGGATCCACGAGTTATGACTCTATCCCTGTGATCAAAAGGGTGCCGATTCAGTTCCCGTAGTTGCCGGAGTGATTGTTTGGTCCTTGAACAAGGCCTTTAACCCCAATTGCACCAGCTTTCTCGGTGGTATTTTGCTTTGGATAAAAATGTCGCAGAAATGTAACTGGCGCTTGGTGGATAGCATTAATATGATATAGCCATTGTTATAAACTCCAAACTCTAACCTCATTATCCAGGTCGTTGTGATCTTAGCTGATAGCCTTGCTGAAATATAGATTTCAAGATTATGATACAGTAGTTGACCAGCTTAAGGTATGTTTTCACATTATGGTTTGGCTGGTCATACCAGCTTATGATGGTCATTCTAGCTAGTTTAGCTAGTCATACCAGGATGAACAGCTTGATAGGCTGGCCACATCAGCATGACCAACTGGTGACCCACCCACCTAAACCATCAAAGAACAGCAAAAGCTGGGACATGCCCATCTAAGGCCATCTTAGACCAGCTAAAACCAGCTTAAACTAGCTACAAGCATAAAGTAATTTTTTTTTAGTAGGGAGCAGCCTGATATGTTTGTTCAGGCTGTTAGACCATTGATTTAAATGCCACTAGGCCTTTCATTCCAAAAATGCATGCCGAGCGACGGGTGATGACCGACCGTGGCGGTGGGTCCGGCGAAGGCCAGGCTGAGCAGCATGAGGAAGGGGACCATTTCCCGGGTGGGCTCCACGTAGGGCAGGCTCAGGCTCCGGTCGTAGCAGGTGTACCCCGAGAGCACGGGTTTGAACATGTCCGTCAGCTCCAGGAAGTACAGACTGACCACAGACGAGGCCAAGATGGGGAGCTGTCAGCGAGAAGAGGAGCCACACATCAAGCATCGGGATCATCTTCAGCTTCTACGTCTACGGCTGACTTTGCTTATACTTGCCACAGATATACATCCATGTTGTGCTTTGGTGGAAACAGGTTTATCATCCCCATGTGTTTGTCTCATTTGTTTTTATTCATTCATTCATTCATTACCATACAATTCGATCCCACTTGTCTTATACAAAGCCATGGGCACAAGGCAGGGAATAACGCAGGATGGGGCGCTAACCCATTATAGGGCACACTCACCATTCACACATATGGACAATTTGGCAACATTTTATTATATACAAGCATATCAGTAGTAATAACAATGGAGTGGAAACCAAAATAAAAACAACACACAAGATCCTCATAGACCAATATTTAAGCAGGAGTTGTGCGTTCATTTAGGGTAACTATATCCAATGTTTATTAGGCAGAACATTTTCACTCGTTATTTTTCAGACTAATTAATTAGAAGAGATGACATATGCATCTGTTTGTGGTAAATGAATCTGTTTGTGGCAACTAGAAAAAAAGTTATATTTGTATCCAGGGTGGAAGACTAAGACCCAAAAATCAAACCAAGCGAACCATTCATGATTGCTCATCTCCAAACAGTGGAATGAATGCCATGACATATTTAACAATCTCCTCTCCAAGGCCTCAGTCTATTGGCAGGCATCACCATGCAGTCAATCTAATATGTCTGGCTGATCTACACAAAGACAAGCTGGCTGAGTGAAAGTTGCGTTACTGCAGTCCTACTACAGAATTTAAGTTGTGGCCTAGACTTGAAGTCATGTTTCTGACTTGGATCTCATCTTCAATCCTAATGCATGGACAGGCAAAATGAATACAGACGCTCCTCTACTTACGAACTGTCAACTTATGAACTTTCCGACATACTGTACGAACGAAGAGGACTGTAAGTCCAAATTGTGTTCATTGGACTCCCGTTTCCTGTCCGCAACATCAATTTTTTTTCTGTGCGTCAATTCCGGGTAGTATGACTTCTGCCTGCTACTCCCGCTGCACAGCAGCGTAGCGTGCGTACTCCCACCATCTTCGTTCTTAGTACAGGTACTTGCATATACCCTTAATATGATGTTGAACATTTCAAGTTACGAACGGCGCTCGGAATGTATCTCATTCGTACGTAGAGGAGAGTCTGTATTTTACTAAATTGATCAAAAAACCAAGTAACATGCCAAAAAAATCCAGCATTTTTGTCTATAAGGTTATACTCATAGAAGCTAGTTAACTTGTTAAATTCATACAAACAAACAGCCTGGTGCGACAATTGATTCTTTAAATAATTTTGAGACGATGCCAATTTTTTGCCCCTATCAGTACAGCAGCTTGTTTTCCCTGGCTCCAATTTAAAGTGTAAAAAAATGTTTGACATTTAGCAGATATATTGGCTGTATGAATATATGTCAGTTTAGGAGGTGTTATAAAATAATCTGATTTCCACAGGCCAAAGCAAAAAGCCTGGAATCTGTAATACATTTGATATAAAAAGCTGCCATTTATGCTCTAAACTACAGAATATAGGCTTCAAATCCTGTAATAAAGAGTTGATGGCTCAGACTTACAACCTTGTACTAAATAAGTGGCTATGGAAGTAAGATGGATAGATCAGTGGGTGGATGGATGGACGAATGGATGGATGGTGACTCAAATTCACAACACAGTACTAGATAAGTGGTTATGGAAGATTAAAAGTGACTCAGATTCACAGCCTGTACTGGATAGGTGGTTATGGAAGACTGACTGATGCATGGTGATTTGCCCTGTGTGCTGTAGAGACATCTGCTGCTTCATCAGCGAGGCCTTCCAGTCTGGGAGTCTGGGAGCTTGTTGGTATGACTCTTCACTCAAGTGCCTGTACAGTACAGCCCCCCGGTGGCCACAAAGAGACACTATGGGGGTGAGGGGAACCCAAAGTGAATTTTTGAGTGAGACCCCAGTAACAACAAACCCACCCCTAGGTACTGGATGGCTTGTTGTGGAAGATGGATGGATGGATGGATGGATGGATTGTGACTCAGACTTGGTAATGGATAACACGATACAGGATAAGTGTTTATGGAAGATGGTAACTCAGATTCCCAACCCTTGTCTAGGGCTGATAAGGAACCAGCTTGTCCAGTGGTACTGTAAATAGGACATGATGTCATACTAGGACACATGGTGACTGGAGACCTTAAGTTTTTTTTTGTTATTACACAAATGACTTACACAGCCAATTCCCTACCACTGTGCAGCGGATCCCAAGCACATTGTAACCAAATGTCATTATGCTCCGAGGGAGAGTCAGTCCTCTGTTGGAGTCTCTCAGATTCTCAGCATGCTTGTTATACAGGAGTAAAGTGCCATCTGACTGAAAATACAAAAGGGCAGAAGGTTTTAAAATATCTAAATGCAAATCAGCCCTTAGCGAAAGCTGTCCTCTGGAAGCTTATGAATGGCTCTTGCTACCGGGACTGCTGAGCTATGTTTATTGAAGTTGCAGCTATGAACTGACTCCAGCTCTGTTTGATTTAGTGGGGGATTTAAATACAGATGCATTCATATTACAATAAATGTGTAACATTTCAAAATAATTTGAATGCCTAGACAGTGAAAAGTATTTAAAACATTTTTTGGAACGAACTAACTTAATTTATGTATTCAAGACTAATGCAATTAATATATTTTAATTCAGGAAAAAAAGCATACAAACAAAAACATTTCATATTTATAACTCACAATCAATCCGTGTTCTACATTCTATTAACATGGAAAACTAAATTAATTTCTCAAAAAAGGATTAATCACCCACACTTACACACAGACATAATTTATTTATATACTCGCTTTAAATCTATCATATGGCTTTATAACATGCTAAAGCAATTTCACACATACCAATAATAACCCCAATAACATCCTAAAAAATTTATAGGACAGGCTTTTCCAGTTGGAGTCCCTTGCGGTGAAATGCGATAGAAGTGGTGACACATTACGGTACATTTGGGTCAGACTCTTCCCTGCTCCTCTGAGAAACCCACAGAGAATTTTATAAGAGATTACAAGACCCCATTCCATGCACTGCAGTGGAAAAGCCAGTGTTAGTTAAGAAAAATCCTCAGATAAAACTCCACTTTCCGCAAGGTGCCACAATGTACTTTGAAATACTGGACGCATTTCCTTAAGTCCCAAGAAAACATCATTGCCATGGTTGGAAATTAATCGCATAATTTGTCTTGAGTTAACAACATGCTTCAAAACAACCCAACACTGTACAGTGAAGGGCATACACATGGCAGACCTGCCAGTGGAAAATTAACACTGAGGGAGTTTGGACATGTTCTGGTGTCAGATTAACACTTGGGAGTGTGACCATAAGACTGAATGCATGTTACATTATGCTACAGTATGCTGTTAATGTGCCAGATCTGATGAACCTTTTGCCTGCAACAAGTATTATTGGTCTATTTTCCACAATAGCTTGTGTATCTACAGGGAGGCAGCAAGCCGGGAGCCTGAAGCGGAGGGCACAGGGGGACGCCCTAGACAAAATGCCAGTCTATCACAAAACACACAGCCACACACACTGACACACTATGGACAATTCAGAGATACCTGTTCACATAATTGCATGTTTTCGGAAGAAACCAGAGCACCCAGAAGAATCACTTACAAGAATAATATACATACTCCACTCATATACAGGTGGGAATCAAACCAAGAGCCCCGAGGGTAGAGTGTCTACCACTGAGCCAGCAAGCTGCCCACAAGTATTATAAATAAGGAATATCTTTTGACTATAAGATGAATCAAGCACGGAATATCTATTTGTGTATTGCTCTGTGGGTTGGTGTGCTGTGTTTGTGATTGGTAGGCTGGCTGGTCAAGGCCTGAGTTCAGCAGAGTGATTTCACTGTAGGACCCTTGAGCGAGACCCTGAACCCCAGTTTCTTCAAAGACTGGCCCTGCTTTCTCAATCGTACATCACTTTGGATAAAACTGTCTGCTGAATAGATAGATGTACTGATTGCATTGTGGGGTGGCACAGTGGTTCGCACTGTTTCCTCACACCTCTGGGACTGGGCTTTGAGTTTCCGCCTGTGGCTCCGTGTCTGTGGAGTTTGCATATCCCTGTGTCAACATGGGGTTTCCTGGTTTCCCCCCACAGTTTGAAAACATGCTGAGGCTAATTAGAGTTACTAAATTGCAGATAGATGTGAGTGTGTTCTGTGATGGGCTGGTGTCCTGTTGTTCCCTGTCTTGCACCCATAGGCTCTAGACTCCCCGCGACCCTGAAGCGGTTACAGAAAATGGATGGATGAATGGATGATTGCATTTTATATCAATATACCAAACTGCTTCAACAAAAGTTTGCCCTGGTAATAATTCTTTAGTAAACCAGCACGATAATCTTTGCGAAATCCACTCTGCAGGGTTATGTGGAAGGTATGGTTTTACCAATATGGCTTCTGGCTGGCCAGACTAAGGCCCAGGCCTTTGCAGTACTGCCAGAAAGCCTGTCCAAAGCAAGAGAGACTGATCAACAGCTGGGCCAACTGTAAGCACTGCTGCCTTCCAAACCATGACTGCTGTGTCCTTGAGCAAGGCTTTTTAAACAACACTTTTCAGTAAAAGTGCTCTTCATTGGTGGGTAGTGCTGTGATTTTACATGTCAGGAGTGTGATTCCCCCCCCCCCAGCCCTGTAAGTTCTTCTGATACACATCCTCAAGACACTCTAGTTTCCTCCCAAAGTTTGAAGACAGGTAGTTGGGTGCATTAGTGTCTCTAAATTTCTGATAATGTGAGCGAGTATGTCTGTGTTCCCAAATTCTGGTACTGGACGGCCAGTTTACAGCACAATTTGCAGATTCCCCCGCTCAGACACACTTTATTCCGCTCACCAGCTAATTGCCAAGTTTAGAAGGTTTGT